AGACCATGGTCGCACCCGGAGGCAGCGGACAGCGCAGTACCTCGTCGTACATGACGATCCACAGGATCGGTCCTAACACTGAGCCCTGCGGAACTCCGCGCTCGACAGGCCGCCTTTTCTCCCCTTCCCTGCTGGCGTACCCTACCCACCTGTCGTCGAAATAGACGCGGATCAGCCGAACGAGGTATTCTCGTCTTTGGTAAAGGCTGCTTTCCTTAGCGCAAATTTATCACCATACAGTACCCGGGCACTCCTAGGGCCATAGGGGTTGGGGTTACGCCCAACCAGCGCACAAGGCACCCAGTACCTTGCTACCTGGATTAGCTAAGCCTGGCAGGGACTGTCGCTAGTCTCAGGTCGAACGCGGCGCTTAGATGAACGAGGTAGTGGGGCTCGAAGTATTCCAGGGCCGCTACTATTCTATTCCATAGTATGTAGTCGAACGTGTTGACGATGTCCAAAGACACCGCCAGTGCCACGCCATCCCGGGAAACCATGTCCTCCGTGAGGGCTCTCACGCGTCTGACCGCGTCGATCGTCGAGCAGCCCCTCCGGAAGCCGTACTGGCTTTCGTGCCAACCCGGCACCCGCGCCGACATGTGTCGCTTCAAACGGGCGATGACTCTCTTGTTACTTAAACTTTAGGGTTGGATGATAAAATAAAATAACTGAATCGTAACACAACTATCAACTTTGGTTTTATTAAACTTTATTATGAATTGAGCAATCACAATGGAATACACACTGAATTAACACACATAAATCACAATTTACTCCAACAACTTTATGTAAAACCTAATTACACTGATACGTTGAATACGGGACCGGTCTAAAGGTAGAAACTCGGTGAAAAGGTGTTGACTATTCTAAAGATAGAGACTGAATGAGTTTTAGTGACGATACTGTGTCTGAGGAAAGCTAGGGGTGGGTGTGTCTAAGGACACGGGACTATCGGATTTGTTGATGACAATTTTGGTTAGGTAAGTGAGGGCAGTAGACACCGTCTTCGATTGGATAATAAGACGGTTGATGGACCAGGAAGGGTTTTAGCCGCCCTCGTGAGAAAGTTGCTAACGGAACATACCAGACGCGAGGAAAACTAACTTTCCGTGTTAACCCGTAGTAAGCAATAAACGTGAAAGGAAACTTAAGACAAGAGATACTCGCTTGGTCTGAAGGACCTTAAGGATCTCCAAGGCGAAACCCGTCAGAGAACGCCTTATAGCCGCCAATGAGGTATCAGTGTGCACCAACTGCCTGGGGAGAGAACACGCACTTCTTCATTGCACCGCCGTATCCTGTCGTATGTGCGGGAAACGACACCACACGCTGTTGCATGGGTCTGAAACTCGAATCCAGACTCGGGACATCACTAGCGGTCGAATTCTCGACACCACATCCGA